CAATTCTATAAAATTAAAAGACGGACATTATGAAACTGATCTGCCTTTAAGAAATCATGATGTTGTGATGCCAAATAACAGACTTCAAGCTGAAGTATTTGCCTATAAACTGAGAAAGAGATTAAGTGTCAATGAATCTCTTCATAAACAATATACTGAATTCATGAATAATTTAGAATCGAAAAACTATGCAGAAAAGGTGCCAAAAGGTGAATTGGCAAAACTAGATGGTAAAGTATGGTATTTAAATCATCATAATGTTGTGCATCCAAGAAAACCTAATAAGGTAAGAGTGGTATTTAACTGCCCTTTAGTTTATGATAACTCATCTCGCAATGAACAGTTATTGTCAGGCCCAGACTTGACCAATAATTTACTTGGTGTCCTTTTCAGATGGCGACAAGACTATTTTGCTGTGATGAGTGATATAGAGAGCATGTTTTATCAAGTCAGAGTTAGTAAATCTGATATCGACTTTATGAGATTTTTATGGTGGCCAAATGGGGACTTAAGTCAAACATTAACTGAATATCGTATGTTAGTCCATTTATTTGGAGCTGTCAGCTCTCCAAGCTGTTCAAATTTCGCTCTCAAACGTGTAGCAAGTGACAATATAGTTAAAGTAGATAAAAATGTCATTGACTCAATCAACAATGACTTTTACGTGGATGACTTTCTAAAATCGTAGCCGAGTGAATCTGAAGACAAAATGGGTCAGTAACAGTTGCAATTTGATGAATACTATCCCAGCATCTGATAGAGTTGATGAAACCAAAAACTTGGATTTCACCAATATCAATGACAATTTACCAGTGCAACGTGCATTGGGTGTGAAATGGAGTGTTGAAGACGATAAAATTGAATTTAGTGTAAGCTCTATGAATCCAAAGGCAACTCGTCGTAACATTTTATCGGTTATGAGTTCTGTGTACGACCTGTTTGGGTTCACTTTACCATTCGTTCTTCGTGCTAAGTTAATCATTCAAGATTTATGTCGCGAAAAACTTGGTTGGGATTAAGAAATACCGGAAAAACATGAACGCAATTGGAAAAACTGGGTGAAAGATTTACCTAACTTAGAAAACGTGTCAATCGATCGCTGTTTAAAGCCAAAGTGTTTCGGTAATACACAATTGCATCATTGCGATGGTTACTTATATAAGGTTTGAAAGTGACCGTGGCGAAGTTCATGTGTCATTTGTGATCGGGCGATCACGTGTTGCGCCTATTAAACCACACACTATTGTTAAGTTGGAATTATCAGCTGCTACGTCAGTCGTAAGAATTAACAATATGTTGAATATGGAATTAACTATACCAGTGAACCAAGTGTACTTCTGGACAGACAGCCAGACGGTATTGAAGTATATCGCGAATGAGAAAGCGCGTTATCAGGTGTTCGTGTCTAATCGCTTAGCAGTGATACGTGATGGATAGGAAATTGATCAATGGAGGTATGTTCCGTCCAAGCAGAATCCCGCTGATCATGTCTCTTGTGGTCTTAGTGCAGATGGTCTTAAATCTGTCAACTGGATAATGGGTCCAGGTTTTCTGTATGAGTCATCTGAGAAATCGCCGCCTATGCCAGTATTTAGTGAAAAACTTGACAATGAAACTGTGAGTGAAATCAAAACGATGTAAACAAGTTATTTAGTCATTATTCGAACCGGAATTGTCTTAAACGCGGTGTATCGTGGTGGCTAAGACTGAAGGCTATTTTAAAATTGAAAAGCCAAAAACTCGAAATTCCTGATAGCTTACGGAATGGAATCTTGAGAAATCTATCATTCAGTGTATTCAGAAATCTGTTTTTTGTGAAGATTATAAAATACTCTCTGGTGAAAAAAATAATTCTGTGAAGTCCAATAGTGCTTTGTCAAATTTGGATACTGTATTTTTAAATGGTCTAATCTGTGTCGGTGGCAGATTAAGAAATGCTGACATTCCTAGTGATGCCAAACATCAAATTATTCTCCCAAAGAATAATCATGTGTCAACCTTAATCGTGAAATACTTTCATCATAAAGTAGGTCATCAGGGTCGTAATCACACGACTGCTGAGATACGTCAGAGATTCTGGATCATAAGATCTGGTGTTTTAGTGAAAGAGATAATCCGTAACTGTGTCATATGCCGTAAGATAAATTCTCGTGCCAGTCAACAAAAGATGGCTGATTTGCCAAAGACGCGTGTTCAAGCTGATCTTAAAGCATTTTCTAGTGTAGGCATCGACTACTTTGGTCATTTTGAGATTAAAGTAGGGTGCTCGTTGAAAAAGCGGTATGGAGTGATATTTACAAGTTTTACTACCCGTGCTATCCATATAGAGGTGTCGACTTCTTTAGATACCAGTTCTTGTGTCAATGCTATCCGTAGGTTTATTGCTAGAAGGGGTGTGCCAAAGGACATATTTTCTGACAATGAAAGAACTTAATCAAGACGATCTTAACAGATTTGCTGTAGAATTTAACTTTAAGTGGCATTTTAACCCTCTTACTGCCTCTCACCTCTCACCACGGCAATCGTTGTTAAGTGAACAATATTTGAAAACCAGTCAAACTGAAGAACAATTACAAACATTTGTCTGTGAAGTGGAATAGATAATAAACAGTCGTCTCGTGTCTCTGAAGATCCGAATGATTTGGAAGTAATTACTCCAAACTCATTATTATTGTTGCAACCCGTGACGTCATTTCCTACTGGTGTATTTTGTGAACGTGACATTTACTCAAAACATAGATGGCGGCAGATACAATATCTAGTCGAGTTATTTTGGAAACGGTGGACTAGGGAATATCTCCCAATGTTGCAACAAAGACAAAAGTGGCTAAAACCAAATAGGAACTTTAAAATAGGAGACGATAATGCACCTAGATGTTCGTGGCTTATGGGTGATATTATTGATGTATATCCAAATAAACAAGGTCTAATGAGAAGTGTACAGCTAAGGACAAAGACCACTACTTTGGTCAGACCTATAACTAAATTATGCTTTTTATTAGAGCAAGATGAGTGAAATGTGAAACTGTCGTGAATTGTGCTGAACTGTGAATCCCGTGAACTTTCTAAATACTTTAGAATGTCATAATTTTAAGTTTAAAGTTAACTTTTATTTGTGAAATTTTGTGACTAGTGAACTTTTCTTTATTCTGTGAATCATGTAATTTTAACTTGAACTGTGAACCCCAATAAAACTTAACTTGTGAATTTGTAAACTGTGACATCATGCTTTATAAATGTATTGTTTATTTTGTTATTAATTACGGTTTATTCATTTGTTTAGTTGATTATTATAATATAATTGTAAATGTGAAGTGTGAATGCTGAATTGTGAAACAGTGTTTGTGAAGTGAATTAGCTCTAGTTAAGAGTTTCTTGTTTATTTTGATCTTTGAACATTGTAATATTTTTATATCTTATTCTTTGTTATCATAAGATAGGGGCCGGAATGTAATGTTCAAAATCTATATATGGCAATATAATGTGTCAGTACATATATGCAGAATATTAGGTTAAATGAGCGGTCAATCGAGTCTAATTAGCATCAGGTAGAATAGTACGTAGTGTCTGGTAAAAAAAGTCAATTGCTTAGCAACCAAGCGGATGTTGAGAACATGTGCAAGTGAAGCTGCCAGTGTGTGATGTGAGCTGGTGACAGCGTACTGTTTTCTACCGCAGACATTATGTTGGACATTGATTTTCTATGAATGTATAAAATGTGACCTGCAAGCTGTGAACTTTTGTGTAATATTATGTGACAGTGAATAAATAGTTGTTATTGTTTGCAGTATCGTGTTTCTTACATATCATGGGTTTTCAAGTCAAGAACGTATGGAACGGTAGGCTGAAAAAAGGGACTAAATATTGGTGTCATGTGAATATTTTAGTGAAGTGAACATCATCGAACTAGTCTTCACCAGCTTGGCATCTACACATACATTATGCAAGGCCTGAAATGTTATCTAAGTCTAGATGTTTAATTAGACATTAATTAACTTATCCAGACCATAATCAACCCTCGATGTCATCGCTAGCCTGCGATATTTACTTGATTAGGATCTGATTTGCTGCTCAACTTTCATTCATGATTAAATCATGAAATTGATAATCGAGACTTTGTTTTTTATCGTACCGACTTTAGTAATGATGATCGAGGCTAGGCCGAAAATTCAATCGCTAAATTCTCGGTTCAGAGTGGATCAACCCTTTACATTATGTAGTTTTTAACTATTATAGTGAGAACTGCCAGCTCTTTATCTAATCTCCCATAATGTATCTTTAAACTAAGAGGATGAAATGTACAGAGAAATTCTTCAGACTATGTACAGCAGTGTTGCCCAACCATGCGCCCAAGAAATAAACCTATGGAAAAAGGGGGTCCATGAATAAAAAAGATCAGCAAGTAAATTGTTTGTATTCAGATAATGAAATTCAGTAGCTGATATCAAAGTCGCATTGAAAGAGAGAATGGGTCATTTCGGGATTAACATATGGTTTAATTTTATTTCAACTGGAGGACCCGGAGAAAACCCACGAGGTTGGACAGGTGACCCTAATCCTTCTCACATACAACCAGCGAATCGAAACCACGCCAGTTGACTCAATGACAGACCTTATGATAAAGCGCACACATGCTAACCATTTGGCCATCCAACACCGTCACATTAAAAGAAATGGCGATCATCTTGCTATGGGTGGATGCAACCTTCCTTTCTTTTTATCAAAACAGCTATTAAAAGTGGTGGCAAGTGCCTTAAATCCTAATGCCCCAAGTATGGGAAATCTATCTGAATAGATGTTACTCTTTTCAGTTTAATTTTTAATGCAAATGTCAACAGCTTGCTGAATGTAAGATTTTTAAGGTAAAGAGAAGAGTGAGAAGTGCTAGACCACTCCGCCACCCAGACAGAGAGAAATACATCACCATAAATACATGGAGATGAAAAGATGCTGATCATTTTTGTTTACATTTTGAATTTAATTTAACTTTTGGCACTTACAATGACTTTGTCTCCTTAATTTGGGTCCACACCAAGTTTCTCTTCGTAATTTTTTCTGAATTATAAAAGAAGGCTGGGTACATAAAACAAATTCTAAATTCTCATTGAAAGATAGGTTGCCAGGCAACATAACATACGCCCACAGCAGCTAAATCGTCCGGGCAGTCAATGAAACATTTATAATACACTAAAATCTGATTAAGAGTAACAAGTCATGAAGTAATTATCAGAAAACCATTAGAATGTGTTTGGTTTTTATAAAGTTCTGCCACATGCTAACGTTTAGTATACGAAACTTTTAATATTATGGATTTAGCTGTTCAAGTCATAAAAACTCATTGAAAATCAATATACTTCCTCGTCTGAAGATCTTAAACTCTGTGTATCAATCTGAAGTCAATCGGATGATAACTTTAGCCTCTAGAGCATCACAAGATTTTTCAAAGTGATCAAGGGCCATAACTCTGACAGTAATTATCGTAAATCGCTGAAAATCGATAGGCTCCTTCGTCTCATAACCTTAACCACTGTGTATAAATTTAAAGTCAATCGGATATTAACTTTGGCCTCTAGAGCATCCACAAGATTTTTTTAAGTGATCAAGGGCCATAACTCTGGCAGTAATGATCGGAAATCGCTGAAAATCAATAGGCTTCTTCGTTTCATGGCCTTAAACACTGTATACAAATTTAAAGTCAATCGGATATTAACTTTAGCCTCTAGAGCCTCCACAAGATTTTGAAGTGATCAAGGGCCATAACTCTGGCAGTAAGTATCGAAAATGATAGGTTTCTTCGTCTCATGACCTTAAACACTGTGTATAAATTTAAAGTCAATCGGATATTAACTTTAGCCTCTAGAGCGCCACAAGATTTTTCAAAGTGATCAAGGGCCGTAACTCTGGCAGTAATTATCTGAAATCGCTGAAAATCAAAAGGCTTCTCCGTCTCATGACCTTAAACACTGTATACAAATTTAAAGTCAATCGAATATTAACTTTAGCCTCTAGAGCCTCCACAAGATTTTGAAGTGATCAAGGGCCATAACTCTGGCAGTAATTATCGGAAATGATAGGTTTCTTCGTCTCATGACCTTAAACACTGTGTATAAATTTAAAGTCAATCGGATATTAACTTTAGCCTCTAGAGCGTCACAAGCAACTGTGGACGCCGGATCGACGAACGGACGGGGGCGATGACAATATACGACCACATTTCAATGTGGCCGCATAAAAATTCAATTTATAGAGTAACATAGGGTAATTCTTCTATGGCTGTTTTAGAACAGGGAGTTATGGTGACTAAGTGGGTAAGGTGCTGGCTCACTTGCCTGGAGGTCGGGTGTTCGATCCCTGCATTGGCAGAGAAAGAGTTCATCCAGACTTTACGACGTGGTTTCCCCTTGTCAGTGATGCAGGATGGGGTGTCTGACAAAGACAGCTGTCTAGTCATTCGGATGGGATAAAAAAAAAACGAGGTCCTGTGTACACGTTGGCGTGCACGTAAAAGATCCCTTGGCAGTTGGAATTCGGTATAAGAGTAGCCGGTAGTGCCACTGTACAGGCTAAATTTCCCTCATAGCACAATTTATGGCGTATGCCCGTCTTCATTAGCCCAGTCGGAGCAGAACAGTAGGACGTTAAACCCCATTCCATTTGATTTCTGTTTTAGACAGAAGGTTTTTTGAATTATATTTACTGATTCTTTGTCCTCTTTACAGGCAATAAACAATAAGCAGCTTGTACACCATTTAGTAGCAGACATTTATCGTCTGCTACTATCACACGAGTTTAACCGCAAGGACACTGTCCTTTGCTGGCTCCCCAGTCATGTTGATATTAAAGGGAATGATCAAGCAGACTTAGCTGCCAAGTCTGCTTTAGATCTTCCCATATCACAATTTCTTTTACCTTTCACCGATTTTAAATCGTCCATTAAATTATTTATATATGACCGCTGGCAACGGTCTTGGGATCTTGCAGACACAAACAAACTTCATCACATTAAGCCTCTCTTAGGAGACTGGCCAAACTCCTATAGAACCAACAGGAGGGATGAGGTTGTTTTGTGTCGCTCTCGCATTGGTCATACTTTTTTAACTCGTATTTTTATTTTGAAGCGAGAGCCTCAACCAGAATGTGTTCGCTGTCATGTTCCTTTGACAGTAAAACACATCTTGATTGAGTGCAAACATCTCAAGTATATTAGATCTAAATACTACCGTTGCCAGTCATTACGTCAGCTATTTGCTCAACTGGAGCTACAGTAGAATCTGTATGAGCAGCCACTCCTATTCAGCGACATCTCCTTGTAAGCGGTCACGATAAATTCCCCCCGTAGAAGTTCTGTTGTTTCATCTCTTTATTCAACGGTCACTCCTCTAACGCGGCCAGCGGTCACTATTTTACTAATAAATTCAACAAAACATAGCCCATTCAACAGCCATTGTTGAATGATATCATCTTGTCGTTCTTTGTAACACCCCCGCTAATCCCGTGAGTAGTAGTTAATTAACTGGACCCCCACTGATCAGGTAAAAAGCAATGTAAAAATAACAATCAACCCGGGATTATCTGTTAATTAATCTTTTGTTTTATTAAACGACTAACCTGATCATTGTTTTCACGCGTAACGACACATTATTTGATACTAATTGAATAAAATAAAAGTACCGAGTTTTGTCACGATCATCTAGTATCTCTCTTAGCGCCTCCTATAATATTACATACAGAGTTACACCCCCTGTAAATAGGTCATGAAATTACAATATTGTGAATGACGAGTCTCCCTTCTTTAATAGGAATATCATACCAAATATGGGTCAAGTCGGTGGATCATCTTAGCCAATGAAGATCATAGGCTTTAAGAGAGAGATCAAAAATTTGTATTTGAATTGAGACTGTTTTGCACACAATTTTCTTTGATAACAAAATTATTCTGGTGGCAATCTACACAAAAACACACAACCAGACATATTTAATATTATACAGCATTACAAATGGGAGTTCAGTTTTTTGGGGAAGGAACAAGGGCTTTGTGTATTGATTAATTGATTGTATTTGATGCCTTACTGTATTTTCTTGTATCTTGATTACTTTGTCCTCACTAGACAGAAGATCAAATATTTTTTCGTTGTAGATCTCCATATATGTGATTCTTAGTAAAAATTGTTTGTTTGGTGCCTAAAAATAAAATAGTTTTCTTTGTTGGAAATGGCAATTGATACACGATCACAGAACCAGCAACTTACACACTGTTGAAATGTTGAAATAACATAATATGAATATAATTAATTCTCATTAATGCCAATTTGCTTGCTAGACTGGAGGTCGGGTGTTCGATCCCTGCATTGGCCGAGAAAGTTCATCCAGATATTCTGGCGTGGTTCCCCCTTGTCAGTGATGCAGGATGGAGGGCCTGTCAAGGACAGCTGTCTAGTCATGAGGATAGGATGAAAAACTGAGGTCCTGTGTACACATTGGCGTGCACGTAAAAGATCCCTTGACAGTTGGAATTTGATACAAGAGTAGGCCGTAGTGCGGCTGTACAGGCAAAATTTCCCTCATAGCACACTGTATGGCGTATGCCTGTCTTCATTAGCCCAGTTCGGAGCAGAACACTAGGAGATTAAAGCCCATTTCATTTTCATGCCAAATTTCTATGATGGTATGAAACAATTGACTATTTCAAAAAGAAATCATTTTATCACCATAATTCATTTTACTAAAACGAGAGATACTAACTTCATTAATGTACTCAAATATTTCATCTATTGCTAAGGCAATAAGTCCTGGAGACATGTTGTCACCTGACATTGAGTATGTTTTACCGGAACCACTTTGTCCATATGCAAATACCGTTCCTGAAAACACACAGAGGAAACAGATAAACTGAATGGTCGAAACTATTTCTTTGAAAATTAAACAGAAGATGCATTTCTGATTTCATCAAATTAAAGATACATTGTGTAAGATTTAGATAAAGAATTGGCCGTTTTTGCTTTAATAGTTCAACCAGCGGCTGCCAGGCAGGATACGCCCACATTTTCGAGAGATGGATAGAGAACAAGCTAACAAGAAAGTGATTTTTCCTACAATCAAGGGCCATAATTCAGGAAATTACAATTCGATATGCGCAAATATCGAAAGGAACTGAGATCTTTTTGTTATAAACCTTCATTTCAAGTTTCATCAAAATAGGATAAAAATTGTGACCTCTATAGGGTCCACATATTTTTACGCTATTTGAGAACGAACGGCAGCCATTTTGTCTGTCAATTTTGGGCCGATTTTCACAAAATTTGAACTCCTTAGGGTGTAATGATAGATATAATAATACGGTTTTTTAAATCGGATAAAAATTATGACCTCTATAGGGTCCACAAGCTAAAAACGTGATTTTTCGTACAATCAGGGGCCATAATTCAAAAAGTTACGGTCCGATATGCACGAATATCGAAAGGAACCGAGATCTTTGGGTTATAAACTTACATTTCAAGTTTCAACAAAATCGGATAAAAATTGTGACCCCTATAGGGTCCACAACCTTGATATACCATATTCTTACGCTATTTGGGAACGAACGGCGGCCATTTTGTCTGTCAATTTTGGGCCGATTTTCACGAAATTCGAAGTCAGTCATCCTTAGGGTGTAACGGTGATATAATAGAATGGTTTTTTAAATCGGATAAAAATTATGACTTCTATAGGGTCCACAAGCTAAAAACGTGATTATTCGTACAATCAGGGGCCATAATTCAGGAAGTTACGGTCCGATATGCATGAATATAGAAAGGAACCGAGATCTTTGGGTTATAAACTTACATTTCAAGTTTCAAAAAAATCGGAAAAAAATTGTGACCCCTATAGGGTCCACAACCTTGATATACCATATTCTTACGCTATTTGGGAACGAACGGCGGCCATTTTGTCTGTCAATTTTGGGCCGATTTTCACGAAATTCGAGCTCAGTCATCCTTAGGGTGTAACGGTGATATAATAGAACGTTTTTTTTAAATCGGATAAAAATCATGATTTCTATAGGGTCCACAAGCTAAAAACGTGATTTTTCGTACAATCAGGGGCCATAATTCAGGAAGTTACTGTCCGATATGCGCGAATATCAAAAGGAACTGAGATCTTTGGGTTACAAACTTACATTTTAAGTTTCAACAAAATCGGATCAAAATTGTGACCTCTATAGGGTCCACAAGCTAAAAACGTGATTTTTCGTACAAACAGGGGCCATAATCCATGAAGTTTCGATCCGATACATGCCAATATCGAAAGCAGCCGAGATCTTTTGGGGATACACCTATATTTCAAGTTTCGTCGAAATCGGATAAGAATTGTGACCAATTGTGGACGGACGGACGGACGGACAGGGGCGACGGCATAATACATCCACATGAAAATGTGGGCGTATAAAAATTGAGACCTCTATAGGGTCCACAAGCTAAAAACTTGATTTTTCATACAAACAGGGGCCATAATCCATGAAGTTTCGATCCGATTGCTGCCAATAGGAGATAAACCTATATTTCAAGTTTCGTCAAAATCGGATAAGAATTGTGACCTGTAGAGTGTCCACAAACAAATTGTGGACGGACATCCAGACGGACAGGGGCGACGGCATAATACGTCCACATAAAAATGTGGGCTTATAAAAATACATCATGTAAAATGAATATTGTAAATTTCATTGAAATTACATTATCAATGTTCATCAATTTGACAAGATGTGTGTATTGATTGTTTATTATCGTAATCACGGTGCTGGTAATTGAATTGAAAATAAGTCAACACCATTTCTTCAAGACCTCCAACACCAGATAATGTCACGAAATATTGAAGTGTATTAATATTAAATATTTACCGTGGAAACTGGTCATGGCAGCTTGCACAATGGGTGAACTAATCTCATCGTTTATTTCATATGTGGTTGCATTGTCATCATACACACAGTCTACAAAATAATGTAATAAATAAACAAAATTTTTCATCATGAGTTTTCTGTAACCATATTTAAAATAGTCAATAAGACAGAAAAATTTCTAATTTTTAAAATCGTTTCGATTGACTAATGGGAGGGTCAAGCTAAAAGCAACAAGCAATGCCATGTTAAAAGTCAAGTTTAAAATTCCATTCACTAATTCTCAACCTGCTGGTATAGTCTACAGTGGACAATGTATACCGGTAGTTGTTCAGATGGGACGAAAAACCAAAACCCCAATGTGTACACATAAAAGAATTCTTGACAATTGGAATTTGATAGAAGAGTAGGCTGTGGCTAAGATAAGATGTGCATCACGATTCATAGCCTACATGTATGATACGATTAATATCGAGAAATCTGCAGGTGACCTTAACATGTATGATACAATTAATATCGAGAAATCTGCAGGTGACCTTAACATGTATGATACAATTAATATCGAGAAATCTGCAGGTGACCTTAACATGTATGATACGATTAATATCGAGAAATCTGCAGGTGACCTTAACATGTATGATACAATTAATATCGAGAAATCTGCTGGTGACCTTAACATGTATGTTTTATAGAACATACATGTACACTTACCAAACGTATACAGCGGTGAAGTTTCGCCCCTCTGATATACTTTTTTTTGTCGTGCGTTCCACATACAAATTCTTCAATTTTGTCTTTCTCTGTAAATTAAATAAAACAATAATATACTATTCAAAAAAAGTAGGGGATATTTGATTTTTAAGTGTTATTAAAGTCACCTAATGAAACTGACGAAGAAACAAATGACAAAATGAAATGAAGTTCACATTCATCGATTTATTCCAAATGATCGTTAGACTAAGTAAGGCACAGACTGACCATTATAAGGGTAAAATGATACCCGGGGTCAAACAGCAAAGTTACCACAGCATCACAACCAAATCAGTAACGGGTAAATCCTCCTTTGTTTGCCAAACAAGCATTGATCCAACGTGGCATACACCTAATGAGACGTCTAAGGTCATTTTGGTCCAGATTGTCCCATTCCTGTTGCAACGCAGCAGCAAGTTCTTGGACATTGGCAGGACGTTGTTGACGTTGACGTAACCTCTGTCCAAGCATGTCCCAGACATGCTTGATGGGGGAGAGGTCGGGACTCAGTGCTGGCCAAGGTAATGTGGTGATGTTCTGTTGTTGGAGGTAACCTGTAACGATCCTGGCCCTGTGACATCTTGCGTTGTCATCCTGGAAGATGAAACGGCGGCCATGACGTCGTGCGAACGGCACAACATGGACTGCCAAGATGTTGTCCCGGTAGTACTGGCCTGTAACACGCCCTGCAACAACATGTAAAGCCGTTCTTCCAGCAACAGTGATGCCTCCCCACACCATAACAGAACCACCCCCAAATCGATCATGTCTGATGACGTTAACGTCTTGGAAGCGCTCGTTTCGACGACGCCACACCCTCCTACGTCTGTCCAAAAAATCAACAGTGAACCTCGACTCATCTGAAAACATCACATTGCTCCAGCGTCGATTATCCCAGTGTTGACGATCCCTACACCAACGACGTCTTGCCTGAATGTGATGATCTCTCAAACAAGGGATCACGCGAGGACGTCGGGCGCGAAGGTGACCCCTATGCAGTCGATTCCGAATCGTCTGGCCACTCACTCTCACACCAGTGTCTGTTTGAAGACGAGCGCTGATCTGATTTGCTGTGATGACACGATTTCTCAAGGCCAAGGTACGGATAAATCGATCCTGGGCTTGAGTTGTCGCCCTTGGTCGACCTGAGCGTGGTCTGTACTGTACAGATTGTGTATCACGGTATCTGGACCATAGCCTGCTTATGACAGACTGAGAAACATTCATCGTCCGCGCCACAACCGCCTGTGTTGTGCCGATCTGTAGCATGCCAAGGGCACGTAACCTTTCATTTTGGGTAAGCCGACGCATATCAAAATTTGTTTTCTGGTCACTAAAACAATTAAACTGATGTTTCCACCCTGGAATTCAATGCCACAATGACTGTAACATTCAAAGTCAGAGTCGTGCAAATCTTGGGTTGGACCCCCATGATGACCCCAAGCATCACCTGCATTCCATGCGGTAGCTATTGGTGCGTTTGGGTGTCACATGTAACTGGAAATGTTTCTTCTGTTAGGTTCTATAGTGACTTTTTTCGTAGTCATTTGCATATTTTAGTATTATGCCCCCAAAATCAAATATCCCCTACTTTTTTTGAATAGTATATATCTGACTGTCATTTGTAATCAATCCCCAGTAAACTACTATATTGTGATAGTTGAATCTCTTAAAGGGATAACAGTTTGAAGATTAAAAGATTAGAACTAAACTAATAGAACTAATGAAAATAAAGAAACATTTTGAAATAAAATTTCACAAATCCATTCTAAGAATAATATGTCAGCAAGCCTGGACAATAACATCTGTCGCAGACTTTGTCAAGTACAAATTATCACACAAAAGGATGGAAACTGTCACAGATATTGTCAGACACAAATTATCACATAACGTGAGAGAGAGTGAGAAATGGGGTTTAACGTCCACTCGACTAACATATGGTTCAATTTTATTTCAATAATTCGCTTGCGCGTAGGGGTCTTTAACAGTGGGAGGAAACCGGAGGACCCGGAGCAAACCCACGAGGTTGGACAGGCGACCTTACTTCTTGTCACGTACAACCGGGGATTCGAAACCAAGCCAGTGGCCTCAGTGACAGGCTTTAAAATACAGCGCGCACACACTAACCATTCAGCCATCCAACTCCCCCATCACATAACGTATAATATCATAATTAACAAGTGGATGTCATGCAAGATACACCCACATTTTGCAAGAGATGGCCAGAACGCGCAAATCAAATAGAAATGAGATCTTTTATAGATAAAATTATATCTCAAGTTTCGTAAAAATTGGATAAAAATTGTGACCTGTGATGGACGGACAGGGACGATAACAATTTACGTCCACATGAAAATGTGGGCATATAACCAGTGGCTGCCAGGCAGGATACGCCCACATTTTCGAGAGATGGATAGAGAACAAGCTAAAAAGAAAGCGATTTTTCGTACAATCAGGGGCCATAATTCAGGAAGTTACGGTCCGATATGCACGAATATCGAAAGGAACCGAGATCTTTGGGTTATAAACTTACATTTCAAGTTTCAACAAAATCGGATAAAAATTGTGACCTCTATAGGGTCCACAACCTTGATATACCACAATCTTGATATACCATATTTTTACGCTATTTGAGAACGAACGGCGGCCATTTTGTCTGTCAATTTTGGGCCGATTTTCATGAAATTCAAACTCATTCATCCTTAGGGTCTAACGGTGATATAATAATAGGTTTTTTTAAATCGGATAAAAATTATGACCTCTATAGGGTCCACAAGCTAAAAACGCGATTTTTCGTACAATCAGGGGCCATAATTCCGGAAGTTACGGTCCGATATGCGCGAATATCGACAGGAACCGAGATCTTTGGGTTATAAACTTACATTTCAAGTTTCAACAAAATCGGATAAAAATTGTGACCTCTATAGGGTCCACAACCTTGATATACCATATTTTTACGCTATTTGAGAACGAACGGCGGCCATTTTGTCTGTCAATTTTGGGCCGATTTTCATGAAATTCGAATTTATTCATCCTTAGGGTGTAACGGTGCTATAATAATACGGTTTTTCAAATCGGATAAAAATTATTACCTCTATAGGGTGCACAAGCTAAAAACATGATTTATCGTACAATCAGGGGCCATAATTCAGGAAGTTACGGTCCAATATGAGCGAATATAGAAAGGAACTGAAATCTTTGGGTTATAAACTTACATTTCAAGTTTCAACAAAATCGGATAAAAATTGTGACAGGGGCGACGGCATAATACGTCCCCATGAAAATGTGGGCGTATAAAAAATGATAATTTGTATCTGCCAAAGTCTTCAGACTTGTACATGTATGTCAGGAAGGTAGAACTTGTTGCTTTACATACTTTTGTAGCAATGGTCTAATTCTTACTGCTACTTTGACTGAATCCATTTTGCTACTGGTTCTGTAATAAAGAATAAAGATACAATTTTAGCTTTCAATTTGATCGCATCTACAGATTGGTATTGTTTCAATTTTTATTGTCAATTTTTTTATATTTCAATTTGAGGGCAAGTTTTTTGCTGTCAGGCCAGCTTTTATGCCATGTACATCTATAAATTGGATCTAAATGTTTGATGACAATTGACATCCTCCAGAATCACAGTGTACCGTACTAGATAGAAGACTGAAATCAGCCAATAGAATACAACCTCATTGCGTTGATTATCGCTATTTCTGCATATGGACAAAACAGTCAAGTACCGTATGCGACATTTTTAAATTGGAATTACTGGAGGGCAAATAGCAACGAAGGGGGACAAAAGTGGGTTTGTAAAATCGATTTGGTCAATTGGTGCAAATTGTGCGCTAACACAGTAACTGACACAAACTAATCAAACTGATGAAAACTCGTGGAACATATAAATGACAAATTAAAGAGAATACAAAACAAGACTTAAGCATAAATACAATTTAACTCTCCTTAATTTAAGACAATTTGAATGTAGAATTACTTTTGCAATACTAATAGGCCTAAATTATAAATAAGTTATTAGGCTAAAGTGAGAGTCTTTTTACGGGAGCTTTTTTCTCATTTTTGAAATTGGGAGTTTTTTTTATGGCTCTCGCAGCATTTCGTGAACCTTTCCGTGGTGGAGACGAGTGCCGTTGTAAATGTAAGTAGGAGTGTCAATCTTCAAGTGCTATTTCCTTGACATTTTGATACACTTTTTATTTCACTCTGATTTCTCCACAAAATAAAATAAATAGATCTACAGCTTTCAAATTAACTAATTCTCCGATCATCTCCGAGAATAAATTCTGAAACTATAGTACAATGTCAAATTTAAAGTCTTTTTGATACATTCAATATCTCTACTGTCTATTCCAAGAGATACTCTGACTCTCAAATTCCTTGCCATTTCTTCAGTTTTTAATTTCAACGGCCAAAAATTGGTGACATACCTGAAATTGTCATCCCGTTGCTCGCTACGTCGAGCCCTAACGCCTAAAAGTTCGAAAAGATCCACTCTCCTCTTGAAAATTTCACATATTTCGACATTGTTTCTTTCTCATGTGAAATCCAGATGACTTAAATAGAGGAACTCTGTCACTGTCAGTAATGAATGTTATTGTTATATCATTACCACACAAATTATGTTGTTTTATCAAATTTTTGTCAAGTTTTGAGCAGAGAATTTCATCTGCACTGTTTATCTGCTACAAAGACTGCACATCACGTCCTGTTAAATGTTCATAATCTTGCATCGTTGAGTAATTCAACCAATTGCTGTTTTAAAGGCAAGTAGAGAAAGTAGTTTCCATTTTTCAAAGCCTGTTCAATTAAACATTCTTCACTACAACTGCCGCACAATCTTCTGGAATTATCCTTTCCCAAATAAAATAAATATTCCAGGCAGTAGAAATGGATCTGAAATCAATACCAAGAGAATAAATATTAAAATAAGAGTAAGAAATTTATTAATTAAAGACTGTGGGGGTGATCCCTTGTAAACTACAATATTGTGAAAGTTGAATCTGTAAAAGGAATATCAGTCCATTCAGTATCTACATAGATATGATCGATTCAAAATTCCATAATCTATGATGCTCCCTGTGTTGTGTAACAATGATAATGATGGTGTAAAAAAGGTATCTTGTTTTGTATTATATCACTCAGGGAAAGTTAAGATGCTTTACGTAAGATTTAGATAAAGGGCTGACAGTTCTCGCAATAATAGTTTAAAAAAAGGGAATGTGTTGAAAATGTCAGTTGAATCGGTTCTCGTACACGCGACGAGTTGCATCGGAAGATGGCTGAAGAGCGAGAGGAAAAATGTTTAAAAATTCATTTTTCTTTATTCTGTTCTTGAAGACACTACCCAAAAATAAAAGAAACGAATAGTTGTAACAATTGACTGTTCCCAAATGCCCCGTTATTCGTATTAGGAATGTCCATGATATTCATATTTTAACCTGAAATTCAAAAGAAAATGAACTAACGTCGGACGCCATCATGGAAATCGAATCATCAATCCGGCATAAGTCACATGTCAGGGGGTTAGTTTGTAAATTAAGTTAAGATCGTGCCTTATTTCTATGCTGTTGCCCATTTCACTTAGCAATAATACTAAACGAAAATTAAAAAATGGTTTCGGTTGTAGTTCTTCTATGAATTTAGAGTTTGCGTTTATTCTATAGTTAGTTGTTAAAGAGAGAATGTCACCTAGATGCCTCTGTGGAGATGGGCGTGTATCAAAATGGCGTTAGGGTTACGAATAATGATACAAAATTACTATCGTCACGTGAACCCTTTTGAAGCGCGCAGGTCTTTTTTACGCGATCAACGTGGAGATCAGACGAAATTGGGCGCTTTTTTACAATTCACGGAGAAACAGTAAGAAAATGAGTGTGAAATCGGATTTTATCTAAAAATGCTGAATTAGAAGAAACATTTGATAATGAGACGTGGGATATTTCTCGAAGGAAATTTCAATATTTCAAAATGGCCGGTGGTGGTAAACAGCAAAGGTGGGACAGTCTAGCCTAGAGACACAAATCATACTGAAAAAGACACAGTTCTGTAGACTACCTTGCGAAAATTATAAAATTTAGTGGAAAGTCATTTTTTTCTTAATAGTCCCTAACTAAATCTAGATAGCGGTTGCCTAAATGTATTAATAGAATAATAAGTTAGTAGGCTTTAAAATTGAAGTAGGCCTAGAACTAGAACTGTTCTCATTTCGATCACTGTGTACGCCGAGGCCTAGAACTAGCCGAGACGAGAAAGTTCATCAGCTAATATAAACAGGAAAACAAGTGAGTGGTAAAAAATATTTATATAGTTCAGAAAGTGAGAATGAGACAGAGACAAGAAAAAAGTAAGTAGGCCTTTTTTTTTTTTAGATGAGTGCTCAGGAATATGTCTATTACTATTAGTATTAGCCTATTGTCTAGACCACACCTCATATAAAAAATAATATGCCCTTTATTTATTAGGCCTAGCTAATAGGCCTAGACTACAGTACATAGAAATGGTTCCACAATAGTGGATAGTTCTGAGGAATTCCTTTGAGCAAGTTTGATGAAAGTTACTGGCCTATAATTCCATTAATTTTTAATTCGACTAACCCTAAACTGTACAGCACATAGCTTTACATAATATAATAAACAATTTCCCAATGAAATAAAGGTAAAACTTACCACATTAGTACATAAATTTAATAAAATCTACAGCTACGCAATATTTATGTTGTTTTCAAAATGGATGTAATGGTCAGTGTATCCATTCAGATTTATGGCAAAGAATTGTTTTATTGATCAAATTTCTTTGTTGTTGTACTTTTAATAAGCGTCCGATACTTAGGTAACTAGAATTTGTTAATGATGTCATGAAATATCATCCCCAATTTGGTGTACTGTAGGAACCATGTTAGACGGAGAGATACAATTTCTGTTTGGCAATTAACGAGAACAAATTGCAAAAGAATTTATTTCACTGGAATCTAGTAAAGGGATGTCTTAAGGACTTCCAACTCAAAATTGTCCGCTGAAACCCTGTAGCGTTTTTCATAATTAGCATAAATCCAAGATGGCCGCCAATTGGACTTTCTGTCCTCCATGTCTTGGAAACGACTCGTATTAGAGCATATAAATGTATATCATTAGATACAAAAGTGATACCAACGAATCGGAAAAAAGGTTATCACGACGCCAGCAGGTCATGGTGTGATGTCATGACGGCATTGTGACGTAATGACGTCACTCTGACGTTATTTTGACGTCAAAACACTTAGTCGGACAGCACTATATGGCTGAACCGGGAAATTGTATACAAAGTTTTTTTATGATTGATTTTAGTAGCCTGTGGTGTACTCTTTAAGAATCTGCCGGTTGAACCTGGGTCACCCTTGAGCGTTTTGAGAAATTCAAGATGGCGCCCAAGATGGCCGTCATTTCAAATAATCCCCTATAACCCCCATATTATTTTGTCTAGTATGATAATTTTGGTATCTAACCGTATGTTTTGGGGCCAAGGAATACACTGAAATCATCCATTATGATAGTAAAATGCAAAATGCCAGACAATATGACCCTTTAACTTCATAGCGGCGGTTTAGACAATAATTATTTCACCAAACCAAACTATATATTTACAACCTGCGACAGCACAGGTGCCAAATACAATACATTCTAGGTGCAGCTACCAGTGGCGGCGCCAGGGGGGGGGGGGGGCAAATCTGGTTTGCCCCCCCCCCCCAATAATTTTAGAAAATAAAAAAAAGTATTTGTGATAAGTTTCGGTAATTAATACCTTCTACAGTGATTAAATCCCACATACCCACTCAGTCATAGACTTGCATGTTATAGAGCCCGCCGAGTGATTTCTTACCAAGCCCATCCTGCTGTAAACATACTATATACTATTCCAAAAAAGTAGGGGATATTTGATTTTTAAGTGTTATTAAAGTCACCTAATGATACTGACGAAGAAACAAATGACAAAATGAAATGAAGTTCACATTCATCGATTTATTCCAAATGATGGTTAGACTAAGTAAGGCACAGACTGACCATTATAAGGGTAAAATGATACCCGGGGTCAAACAGCAAAGTTACCACAGCATCACAACCAAGTCAGTAACGGGTAATTCCTCCTCTGTTTGCCAAACAAGCATTGATCCGTCGTGGCATACTCCTAATGAGACGTCTAAGGTCATTTTGGTCCAGATTGTCCCATTCCTGTTGCAACGCAGCAGCAAGTTCTTGGACATTGGCAGGACGTTGTTGACGTTGACGTAACCTCTGTCCAAGCATGTCCCAGACATGCTCGATGGGGGAGAGGTCGGGACTCAGTGCTGGCCAAGGTAATGTGGTGATGTTCTGTTGTTGGAGGTAACCTGTAACGATTCTGGCCCTGTGACATCTTGCGTTGTCATCATGACGTCGTGCGAACGGCACAACATGGACTGCCAAGATGTTGTCCCGGTAGTACTGGCCTGTAACACGCCCTGCAACAACATGTAAAGCCGTTCTTCCAGCAACAGTGATGCCTCCCCACACCATAACAGAACCACCCCCAAATCGATCATGTCTGATGACGTTAACGTCTTGGAAGCGCTCGTTTCGACGACGCCACACCCTCCTACGTCTGTCCAAAAAATCAACAGTGAACCTTGACTCATCTGAAAACATTACATTGCTCCAGCGTCGATTATCCCAGTGTTGACGATCCCTACACCAACGACGTCTTGCCTGAATGTGATGATCTCTCAAACAAGGGATCACGCGAGGACGTCGGGCGCGAAGGTGACCCCTATGCAGTCGATTCCGAATCGTCTGGCCACTCACTCTCACACCAGTGTCTGTTTGAAGACGAGCGCTGATCTGATTTGCTGTGATGACACGATTTCTCAAGGCCAAGGTACGGATAAATTGATCCTGGGCTTGAGTTGTCGCCCTTGGTCGACCTGAGCGTGGTCTGTCCTGTACAGATTGTGTATCACGGTATCTGGACCATAGCCTGCTTATGACAGACTGAGAAACATTCATCGTCCGCGCCACAACCGCCTGTGTTGTGCCGATCTGTAGCATGCCAAGGGCACGTAACCTTTCATTTTGGGTAAGCCGACGCATATCAAAATTTGTTTTCTGGTCACTAAAACAATTAAACTGATGTTTCCACCCTGGAATTCAATGCCACAATGACTGTAACATTCAAAGTCAGAGTCATGCAAATCTTGGGTTGGACCCCCATGATGATCCCAAGCATCACCTGCATTCCATGCGGTAGCTATTGGTGCGTTTGGGCGTCACATGTAACTGGAAATGTTTCTTCTGTTAGGTTCTATAGTGACTTTTTTCGTAGTCATTTGCATATTTTAGTATTATGCCCCCAAAATCAAATATCCCCTACTTTTTTTGAATAGTAAATAAACAACAACACATGAATCACTTAAGAACTGCTTTTCATGATCCTCAAAGTTTTTGAGTATATGTTCAACGTACGCGGCTAGAATATGCATTCACTTGATACACGCACTCCGTTCGTTTGACACCCCCCTCTCTGTTCGGATAAGCAGGTTATTTGGCGACGAACAGTATCTGGTCAGCTCTATTTGTATCGACGACCAGTATCTGAAATATTGCCAGGCTGCATTTCCCGCAGTCTATTACACAAAATATTGTAGCGAAAATATTCATTTACTTTGATTCACTCACTCCGTCTGTTTGACACTTTCCTCTCTGGTCGGATAAACTAGTGATCTGGCGACAGGCAGTATCTGGTAAGCTCTATATATCTCGATGATCAGTGCCTGAAATACTGCCAGACTGCATTTCGGGCAGTTTACTTTTCAAATTTTCGGGGGCTTCGTTGAGGTTCGCAAGTCCGTTCATTGGACACTTTCCTCTCTGGGGTCGGATAGATTAGTGATCGGACAACAGGCGTATGGTATCAGACCAGCTCGATTTATCTCGATAATATGTGCCAGAATACTGTCAGACAGCATTTCCGAGAGTCTATTTTTCAAAATTTTCTTGGAGAGGTCACCCATACCCCCCACAAGGACTCGCTACTTTGTTGATCCCTAGGGGACTTCGTTGAGGTTTGCAAGTCCGTTCGTTTGACACTTTGTTCTCTGGTCGGATAAACTAGTGATCAGGCGACGGACAGTATCTGGTAAGATCTATTTATCTCGACGATCGGTGCCTGACTGAATACACAGTCAGCATTTCCGGCAGTCTCTTTTTCAAAATTTTCTGGGGAAGGTCACCCATACCCTCCGTAAGGACTCCCTACTTTGGCGCTCGTGAGTGGGCTTCGTGGAGGTTCGCAAGTCCGTTCGTTTGAGACTTTATCTCAACGATCTGTGCCTGAAATACTGGCAGCCTGTTTTTCAAAAGTTTCTGGGGGAGGCCCACCTACCCCTAGTTGAAGCTCGTGAACTTGCCCCCTTAACCTTAGATTTTGCCCCAGCTTTGTCCCTCCAACCACTGGTGGCTGGCGCCGCGACTGGCAGCTACAAGAGCAAACGTACTATTTTGGGCGTCACTCGTGCATCCGCATTTGATGAGCCACAGGAGCAATGTTCTCAATACAAAAATTGCATTAAATGGGTAATTAGATAAAATGTACACAAACAATGGTAACCATATCTTATCTAAAATTATTTACCATTAGGCCCATGTAATTAAACCAAAATTGAATATGTGACCTACAGAAAGAAATAATTAGTAACAAAAAAAAATAACCAAAATTACCATTCCACTGTAGTACTACTGGCAGTAGGCCTACCACTGCCACTTTTCTTTTGTTTTAACTTAGCTGTCTGTGTTAGTGTTAGCATGATTTTAAAAATATCTTGATTCCTTGTGACGTACGTGCGTTCCTCATTATGAGAGTTTTTGTCAATATTGTTTCATTTAAGATTCTATAGTATTTCTACATTAGGAATACAGAGAGGGGGGGGGGGGCGTAAAAAGTGAGTTTTGCATAACGACAAAAAATTGGTACGGTATCGATTTAATCATGCCCCCCATGGCGATTATCCTCTCCAATGTACGCGATTTTTTTCTCCCGTGATTCCGTAAATCGGCTTTTACATTTATTCGAGAGAGTGTTCCATGTAAGTCAGAATCGTGGAGACATATTCCGATCTTGAAATTAAAGTTCCAGGTTGTGTTGCATTTGAAGTATTGTATTAGATGCGGTACGTACGCGCGCAGGCAAACGAAAATGTCAGCCATTGCTGCCGTAAATTGGTCGCTATTTGTTTACTTTATCGCTACGCATTTTAAGAGTATTTGGAACACGTGCCAATATATCCGCTTTATTAACTCTAAAATAGGTTGAAAAGAATTTGAGAAAAAATCTCTTAGCTAAATTACACCTTACAATATCCCAAATCGATGTTAATAACCGAAAGTCGCAATCATTATTGTTTGGACTAAGACTAGTAATTATATGGACTCAGACTAGCAATTATTTGCCCTTTGACTTCAATGTTAAATGACTGTAACATCACAGGCTGTAGCTTTTTGCTCAACAATCCGTTGGTTCCAATCTTTATAGGCACAATGGGGACAACATTTGGCAATCTCCTCATCATAATTTTGTAGGGGGTTGACCGTTTAGATTTTTTGCTACACGGATTTGAAGTTGACAGGGGTGAAAATCTCACTTCCGACACAATGATTGCTCTGCAGAAAGACACTTTACACCCCCTATCCCTCCGCTGTAATATCATCAGTATTACCCAAAACTGCTATGAAATTGCAAATTTGATCCCTTTTCTCCAATTCTAGACCAAAAAGTCAACCCAAAAATGCAGGAAGAGGGGAGAAAAAAATTAAGGGAAAAATTGTCTATTTATAACTCGCACTACGTTACTAGTCTTAGTCCTATATACCTCACATGTTTCTGCAGTTTAAACAAATCTGTTGTTATCTAATAAACAAACATATATGCAATTCCCTGGCCAAAGAATATGAAAATCTATGCATTTTCAGATGAGCTGTGCGGCATTCTGCAAACACTATAATACATCAGAAAACTGCGGAATTTCAGACAGAAATTTAAAAGCACATGAATTATGAATTCCACAGAACATTTTTATTTTTGAACATAAATGCATTCTGTAAAAAGATGAGATAAATTCAATATAAATCAAACACGAATATACTTTAAAACAGTAATCATGATGCAATATTAGACTTTTTAACACTTTCATCGAAAACCACACAGTTTTTCTCTGTTAACGTAGTTTCAAGTGCCAAATTGTGGTCAAATCTAAAATGTTGAAACATGCAGTGCCTATCAATTTTAAAATATCTCCTATATAGCTGTATTTCCATAGGATAAGTAAGTTGAAATAATCTGATTATGTAACACTACAACAGCTTTTTCATCCCTACCCCCCAGTTTGGAATCTGATAATTTAAAAGCACATGAATTTTGAATTCCACAGAACATTTTTATTTTTGAACATAAATGCATTCTTCAAAAAGATGAGATGAATTCAATATAAATCAAACACGAAAATACTTTAAACAGTAATCATGATGCAATATTAGACTTTTAACACTTTCATCGAAAACCACACAGTTTTTCTCTGTTAACATAGTTTCAAGTGCCAAATTGTGGTCAAATCTAAAATGTTGAAACATGCAGTGCCTATGAATTTCAAAATATCTCCTATATAGCTGTATTTCCACAGGATAAGTAAGTTGAAATAATCTGATTATGTAACACTACAACAGTTTTTTCATCCCCACCCCCCAGTATGGAATCTGATACATTGCTGACCAATCATAGGTCGCCCCGTTCACTCGGGCCTGTCAAATGATTTACAATGGCGATGGTGCCTACAACTTTCCTGACCAAGAGATATGCACAACCGTCGATCAACACACAAACCATTAATGTTATCATCCAATATGAGAGGCCATGATAAACACACAAGCTTCCTTTTCAAGCTCGGAAATTAAGTCATCACCAAAAAGCAAAGTTTACAGAGGTCCTCGGGGCTGGAACCCAAACTGATTACGATTTGCCCTCCACTTTCACCACAGGTGTCATAGAGATCAGGGATGAAATTGATATGCATCATCGTTCTCCTAAAGCCAGTCCAGGAAGAGATCAGGTTTTGAGATGTAGACCTGAAATGTTAAATTTGGATGAGAATGAGAATTCTGGGGCGAATACTATCCAGGGAAATGGTCATTGACATCCAGAAAATGGTCAAAATGTGGAATTCTGTCATTCAGTTAAATGTCAAGGGGAGAAGACAGGCCTGTGCAGTACCAAATTTCCAGCCCATTACTATTAGTGAGCAGAAGTGGGGATGAGGTTGGATGTACTTCTTAAAGTGTATGAAATGCACATTTATCTCACCTGTTTTGCTTCTTTTTTTTTTAATACTTGTGTTGAGGTCAATCATTCCACTCTATGAAACATTGCCCTGGCACCTGAAATGATAGGAGGCTGGGGATAAATATGCAATAAAAAACAGTGAGAAAATAAGAAAAAAATATGGTTTCAACTGGAAATAGAAATAAACCTCTTTATTTCTCGCGAACAGCCCGTCACTGGCCCTCCAAAGAGAAACCAGTTAACAATCAGTAAAAAAGTAAACCTTGAGTGTCACTTAAGTCTAAGCCAATCTCAAAGGTAGATGCCATGTTTTGAGGTTCGGTCTAAATATTAAGGCCAACTGCATGTTTGGTCAAAAGTCACACAGGTGTGAATTTTGGAGTGTACATGTTAACATTTCATTGTATGATGTCAAAAACATGTTAGGTCTAAATGTTAAGGCCAACTGCAGACTTGGTTCAAGGTCACAACATGTAAATAGGGTTAGGGCACATGATTTTTTGACACAATTGTGGGCTTGGGTTAGGGTCAGAACTAGGTCTTGGCTTAGGCCTAGGCTACATGCTTTTTGACAAGATTGTGGGTTAGGGTAACGGTAAGGACTGGGTCTTGGGTTAGGGTTAGGGTCAGTCTTGTTTACATCTCGTGACTTTAGACCAAATCTGGAGTTGAGTTGGCCTTAATATTTAGACCTAACCATGTTTTGATATCATTGTGAACAAAATGTTACACATTTACAACCCAAAATTCACACTCAACCAACGGATACCCCCAATCATGGCTATTTTGATACCAAATAGTCAAAAAACTTACTGCTGGGCAATAAAAAAGCAGTATTCTTACCATTTCTGACACTTTCCATTCAAAACTTCAGGAAATAAGCCGTTGAAAAAATATCAACATCCCGAGTCGGCCATGCTTCTTTATATCATATATACCTCACATGTTTCTGCAGTTTAAACAAATCTGTTGTTATCTAATAAACAAACATATATGCAATTCCCTGGCCAAAGAATATGAAAATCTATGCATTTTCAGATGAGCTGTGCGGCATTCTGCAAACACTATAATACATCAGAAAACTGCGGAATTTCAGACAGAAATTTAAAAGCACATGAATTTTGAATTCCACAGAACATTTTTATTTTTGAACATAAATGCATTCTGTAAAAAGATGAGATAAATTCAATATAAATCAAACACGAAAATACTTTAAAACAGTAATCATGATGCAATATTAGACTTTTTAACACTTTCATCGAAAACCACACAGTTTTTCTCTATTAACGTAGTTTCAAGTGCCAAATTGTGGTCAAATCTAAAATGTTGAAACATGCAGTGCCTATCAATTTTAAAATATCTCCTATATAGCTGTATTTCCATAGGATAAGTAAGTTGAAATAATCTGATTATGTAACACTACAACAGCTTTTTCATCCCTACCCCCCAGTTTGGAATCTGATAATTTAAAAGCACATGAATTTTGAATTCCACAGAACATTTTTATTTTTGAACATAAATGCATTCTTCAAAAAGATGAGATGAATTCAATATAAATCAAACACGAAAATACTTTAAAACAGTAATCATGATGCAATATTAGACTTTTAACACTTTCATCGAAAACCACACAGTTTTTCTCTGTTAACATAGTTTCAAGTGCCAAATTGTGGTCAAATCTAAAATGTTGAAACATGCAGTGCCTATGAATTTCAAAATATCTCCTATATAGCTGTATTTCCACAGGATAAGTAAGTTGAAATAATCTGATTATGTAACACTACAACAGTTTTTTCATCCCCACCCCCCGGTATGGAATCTGATACATTGCTGACCAATCATAGGTCGCCCCGTTCACTC